CGAGTCGCTGGACGCGCTGAGGGCGCTACCGGAGGCGACGTTGTTCGATGAACACGCCGCCATGTCGCCAGTGTGGCTGGAGGTCATTGAGAGGTCGTCGAAGTTCCTGCGCGCGGTAGTGATGGGGTGAGTGAGAGCGTCGCGGACGCTGGTGACGTTCACTTGTTAATCTGCTTGATGAAGTCTTGAAAGAGAGCGGGGGAGAGGGAGGGAGGGAGAGGGAGGGAGGGAGAGAGACCGAGTCAGAGACAGACAAACAGAAGATAGGCAGGCAGACATAGAAATTGAGAGAGACATAGAATTCGCCCCTCCCTCTCCCTCTCCCTCGCTTCCTCCTGCTCGCTCCCTCCCTCTCCCTCTCTTTCTCTCTCACTCTCTCTCACTCTCTCTTCCCCCTCTCTCGCTTTCTCTCTCCCTCCCTCCCAATCCCTTTCTCGCTCGGCATCCCTCTAACTCCCTCCCCCCCTGCCTTCCTTTCTCTCCCTCGCTCTTTCTCCCCCTAACATCCTTATTAAGCTAGGGCGCTATCGCACGACATTCTCACTTTGTATTTTCAAAGGTCACCCGAGAAAGCACCCAGCTATACGCGTGTTACCCACGTCTGTGGCTATGCACATTGTGGATGCGTACGTGCCTGCTGTTCTGTTACTCTCTCTCTGAGTCAGTCTCTCTCTCTCCCTTCCCCTCTACCTCTACTTCTCTCCCTCTCTCTCACTTCCTTCCTACGCACGGCTATGGATGGTAGAAATGTGTACTTACTATCATATGGCGCGAACGATTTGAGTTACGTTTCTAGAAATCTACATACATATAGACACATGTCTTAGCTATGGTCTCTGTGAATTTTGAGTTTATTGAAGCACAATTAGTTTAATTAATTACCAAATATATGCGCGCGGTATCGCTTATAGGCTAATATACGCACGGCTATAGACGGTAGAAAAGTGTACTAACTATCATATGGCAAATTAAACTATCAAATCGGAATCAGCGGCCACCATATTGTCCAATAAATGAGTATAAATTGTAAATCAATATAAATCATAAATAGTGTAAAGAAAAATAAATGGTAAAAAAAACAACTATATAAAGTAGAAACGAAAACAAAACAAACAACCGCTTGTTTCAACAACTGCACATCTCTCCACAGAGAGCTGAGTTGCGGTGCGACGTGTAAGTCTGGGCTCGTGCCGCTGCCGGACCAGCACACCGCTCTC